TGTATGCAACCCTTTTCTTAGCACTAGATCTTGAACCTTTTCTTGGCGTTGGCCGTTTTCTCTTGACGTTTGCTGAATAAATGGTGAAGTCAATCGTATCTTCTCTCATCGCGTTCTTAAACTCCTGCGAAAAAAGATAATAAAAAAACATTGATGAATGAATTTCATTCTCCCTGGGATTTAGATGCTAGAGAAGTGAACAAAAGGGGGAAAGCTTGTTGGCTTTTTTTACCTGATATCTCTGAACCAAGTCTTGATATGTTGAAGGTAAATTGGTGCGAGTTTCGCTGAGGTCGAAGGCAACGTTTTGTCTGGACAGAGGATCTCCTGGCTTTAACGCTTCTGTCGGAGAATAGGCCTACAATGTTTTTTTTAGAACACAATCACGTTTTCACGAAGAAGTTTAGAAAAAAAGACCAACTCTGAAAAAAGAGTAGTGGAAAGAAAGAATCGTACTTGACATCGGTCATCATTTAGGCTGTACGTAACTTTTAAGTATCTCTTCAGCTTCAAAAGAAGTTGTACAGCTATAGCTGCTAAACATTCAACCTGATATATATCACCAAAAAAACACTGACATGAGAAGAAAACGCCATATGTAACAAACTATTATGATATAAAGAGTTCTCAATTTAAATACCATTTGTAAAACTGAACAGACTTGACAAGAAACCAAACCAAACAAATACTAGTTTTGTAAGGAGTTTTATTTTTCTATATCCGGAATACCAAAACCAATCCTGACTGAATTGAGAAAAGAAAAACAGAACTGAAACATGTTTTAGAAAAAAAAAAATCAAGTATATAGTTGAAACCAAAGTGTGCCAACTAATTTATATGCAAGATTTGGTTTACAATATTTATTAACACCCTACACCGGAAAGTGAGAACTCAAACAAAATGGAACCCGCTTTTAACACCCAAGGCATAACAGGAGAAAAAGGTAAGGAGAGTACCTGAATTTTCTGCAGATCATTGGTGGATAGTTCAGGCGGATCAGATGAGGTCATCTTTGGCACATTTGCTTCCCCGTTATGGGTTTGATATGAACTGAACTGATCCCTAGGATCTTGGTATCCTGCTCCATTGAGGTCAAATGGAGTTTGATGGCCATAGGAATTCCAATCTGTTGGTTCTTGGATTCTTGTGTTCAAATCCATCATGTGCATATGTACAGGAATCGGATCTTGTTGGTATGTTCCATTTCCGTGAGGAGTCTTTGCTGAATCTTTATGTAACAAAGCTTTCAAATTTGACTCAATTGCACCAGCCCGGATTTGTACAACTCGGTTTATGGAATACACTAGATAGAGCGGCTCATCGGGTAGTGTAAATGGAAGTAAAGCAAGGGTTTCAGTACAATACCTGAAAAGAGATCGGGAATATTAGTGTTTATTTTACCACAGAGAGAATGTAGAGCTTTTGTAGCAGTGGATACTCACATCAAAAAGGGTATTACTGAGCCACTCCAGGTTGGATTATCAAACTTGCGAACAATCGAAGTCATAAATTTGTTCCGAGAAACCCGGTTTCCACGGATAAGCTTGTAGATCCTAGAAACTCCAAGTCTTGCTTGTGTAAGAGTGCTACTAGTAGGATCATTTTTCTCCAGCATGCTTGTTGAACCCTTTTGCTGTGGATTTTGATTTGGTTCCAAAGTGACCTGGCTGATGGATTGCATGAATATGAACGACATTTGAAGTCCGTCACCGAGACGACTTTCAAAAAAAGCTGGATACCTGATGAAAATGCCAAGGAGTGTTAGTGCACCAATACCTGATGAGCGAATAATGTATCATATTGTTAAATCCAATCAGAGGATTACTTCTCATGCATATTCATTAGTAAATGATGGGCCAGCTTTTGGTTGGCCTCTAGAGGATCTGTCTCGAGGGCAATCAAATAAGGAACACATGTAATAGGATGAACAAGACCTTGACGTAGCACAACTTCCACTATCTGCGGAAGAGATATCTCTCTCATTAATATACACAGAAGCAAAGAGACAAAAGCAAAGATTGTTAATCGCAAAAAAAGGGCAAACCTTGAGAGCAGTCTGGCGAATTTGATCATCAAAGTCCAAGCATCTACCTAATATCTTATCCCAATACAACTGCACAATGCCTCCACAAATGTTGGTGTCACCTGCACCAGCGGCAACAGGTACAGTATGGCCACCTTGCTCAATTGGGTTAACCGTGGTATCACTGGCTTTATCGGATCCCAATTGTTTTTCCGCATCAAGAAGGTATTCATACATGTTTTGTAATGCTTGCATCTGGATCATGAGCATTAAAAAAAGGATGTAACACATGCAAGCGTAACACAAAAACATATACACCATATTAATAGAAAAACACACAGATGGGTGATATTACCTTCATACGCCCGTTTGCTTCATCTGATAATGTAGTCTCGATTATCTTTCCAATGTCTTCTTCCAACATGTATTCAGGTCGCGCAATTAGAATGAAACCTAAAGCCTACAGGAAATTGGGGTCAGAATTATTTAGCATAATGCAAAATTGAAAATGTGCAACAGACTAGTAGCACTATAGGCACTATACCTGCAGGGACCTGACTTTTAAAGCAAAATCTTCCGTGCGGAGATGTCGCTTGAATAGATTGAGACAGCCAGAGAGATTGAAAGTCCTGCCACCTGAGGTGCTAATAAGAGAGTTTCCATGGCGAATGAGCAAGCCAAGACAAAAAAGGGACCGCCCAGCAATCTGAAATAGACAGAAGTTTTCACCATTTAGCTTCAGGTTAATCCGCTGCTGGATTCATCTTGTAAAGATTATAACATTCATCTCAAGTCAGACAACACATTCAAGTGATAATATCAGTAGGCAGTAAATAAGATGAAGAGCAGTGTTAGTACTACTGATCTTCTGAGCAGGAGGAAAATGGCTGTCAATTGTGTCTACTTAACGTCAAACAAAATACCAGTCCAACAAGAATTGGAACAAACTCCAATTTTACCAAATTTATACTCACGAATGCAAGCCACAACAGTACAATATACCATCCCACCAGAACTCCACTTGTAAAATCATGTGCATGAAACAAGACTCAAAGAAGACATTAACTGTGATTAAACACGAAAAACTTCTGATGCATGATCTTTTCAAAGTAAACCCACCTGCTGGTTATCGGACCCTTGGGCCTCCAGTCGCTTAAAAAAGAACTGAAGAAGATGCTCAACTATGCTAACACCTTTCCCCGCCAATTTACTCACAGAACAGAGACACCTGAGATTTTACGGGTTGCACTAATCAAACAGAAGGTACTTTCCTAGAAAAAGATGAGTGAAGTTTCTCAAATGCATTTTCCATGAAGACATGTGATCTTCCAAAAAAAAATGAACGCATGTGAAAGCGAAGACGATGTATAGAGTCAGGAATGATGATGGTTGAGTATTAGAGCGTACCTAACACAAGCATGAACAACAGTAAGAAACGAATGGCGAACAATCATATGCTTTAGATCTTGCTCCAGATCTTCTGCAACACTCAGAGGCAGCTTGCGGATCAAGGGTAGGACAGAATCGATAATGAAAAGAATACTCTCTAGTAACTGTGCTCCTATTCTACTATCAACCTGCAACAAATACAGGAGCAAATGCAGGTTAGCAACACTTAAAGTTTGAGATCCTACACACCTTCACAGAATTGATCTCCTCTCAGGATTATTACCACTATTTTTCAAAGAAAACAAGAATAGATAAGCTCTTAGCAAAATCATTCCTTTACAAAAGTTAAGAGAATCTTGACCAGATTGGCCATATATAACCTGACTCTTGAGATATGGCTGTAGGGTGATAACAAACTTAGTAGGGTCTGAAGCCGGTGTACACAGCCCAGGATCTACCAGACAGAAAGCATGCAAAACAAGTACATAAGGAAGCACTTGGACCTCTCCTTCTTCACGGCTCATTTCTTCTACCTGAGGGGATAAAAGATGTTAATATTGCTTCTTGACCAACCCATCAATGCACAGACATGAAACAATAATGTTGACCTGTAATATTTTTTCCAGTAAGCACTTGCACATCAGCTCGCAGCGCCTGCGTACTGATGCAAGAGCAACTGGGTTGATGCCAGCAGCTTTAGCTGCTTGGGGGAAAAAATCAAGGGCCAGGGCACGCTTAATAATTGTTACAAGAAGCTGGTGATTTGGGGTCTTCCTTA